GGGCATGTTTTTCCAAACTCTCACGTGCATGACTATTAAATGAATCCATGGTGGGTTTCCATAAATGTAAGATTTGCGGGTTTTACCAGAAGGAGCAAAACAGCCAATATCACAGGAATGTTTCAATCCCTTCCTTGTTTCTCTTCTTTCTTTAACGAATCTATTTTGTATGCTTGCATTTCATGTCCATCCTTTTGGTCGCCTCTTCCTTTACCCAAACCTTCTCCAGAATTTTGCTTTCTCCTTGAGGACCTTCCTCCAAAAGGATTCATCCAAAATACTCTCTCCATTTCTGTCACACTATGTACAGTATATTGCAAACTTTAGCTTAAATTATCTTATTCCAGCCAATTTACAAACTTTCACAACTACTTAGATTAATTAGAGTTTTGAAAAAGGGTATGTGGAAATTGCCACACTCTTCCTGTGTCTTGAGGTGTCTTTAAGGAATCCAGTCACACCATCTCATAAAAACTACCTGACTTGGGTTGTCCATTTTTTATTCTCTCTGATGTTGGCCAACATTTCTGAGCCTTGATATATGAAATCCTTGACATAAGGCAATTACATTGCGCAGGCCCTTGTGATGGATGAAGACTCCAGTTGCAACACCCAGCCCATTCCTTCCGCTTATTGGGTCATGAATTCGGCATTTCCCAGGAAGGAAGGCAGAGGAACCATATAAAAATGCCTCACCACAAGGACCGAAGCACACATTTGTGGTATTCCACCATCACAAGCTTCCCTGCAGAAGTTTGGGTAAGTCTACCAAAGCCTTGTCTTCTTATGGTTGGGATTGATGAGCTGGTTTAGGGGTAGAAACATAGCGCTTTCAAAAACTAAGAATATTGTACAGCTGATTCTGATGAGCAAGATTTATTAACCGTCTTAAGAACTGGTAACATTGGCAGTAGAGAAGTAGTTGTGCACTACTGACAGGAGAAATTATTCTAGTTTACACTTGATATAAAGGTATAGAATTTGAACAGGTTGGTAGGCACCAACATTTGCAATGAATTATTTATTGTCACGGTTACTCTGACGGTAACCCCGCATTATGGTTTGAGACACCATCTTTTCATCCCCAGCTCTTCCTCTAGATGCCTCAAATGACTGGGAAGAAGGGAGTAGAGAATTAGATAGTATAAACTGTATTTATTTTATTAAAAATGTTTGCCTCCTGCCCTGATCCCATGACTTTCAGCAGCATGTATCAAAGTGCAATAGAAAATAGCTAATCATGGACACCATCGTTAACACTGATGATGTTACCTAGTTGAGTCATGAAATGTCTGCAAGAAATCAACCAAACTCAGAGCACTAAGGACCCCTCATATCAACCTTGAGCTACAAATATTCTCCTTTATTGGTATATCATCTTTTCCCTGTCTTTGAGATATGTTGATGAGCATGTAATAACAAACTTGCAAGAATTGTAGACAGCATGAGCATGGAAACTTGTAAAAAGTTCTCACTCTCTTCTAAGACAATAGCACTTCCTAAGGTCCCTTGTAGAAAATTACATTTTCAATTGCATTAAATTAAATTAAAGAATTAAAAAGATCAGACACATTGAACTCAGTTTAAAATTCAGGTGGGAATCCAAGAAACAACATTTACCCATGTTTGTGTGTTGTTAAAGTTTGAGGATGCTGGGCTGGGCTTTCGTAGCAGATGTATTTATCATTTCTTGCTTTGCCTCAGAAGTGCCAGCAGACGAACATCAGGATGTGCTCCCGCAACAACGAAAGGTGTTCTCACGGCAATACAAGTCACAGTGGGAGGAGTTCCTGCCATGAGGATCAAGGTTCCTGTGGTGATAGATGAAATCCCTCTTTCACAGTTATGACCATACCGGTGGTGCAGGATAAGAACCCTATCACCCAGACCCCGAAGCAATGCCCCATGGTTTATTCCACTTCCCAGCTTCAACAAACTCAACAGCTCAAGCAGCCCATTCCATATCCTCCCCAACAACAGCTGAAGCAGCCACAACAGTTGAAGAAGTAGCTGAGCAAAACACCGAGGAAACACCGCAACACAACGCATCTGAAAGCCAACAAATTCGTTCCTGTTCATCTTCCTGCTTATGCAAATATATATATATATAGAGAGAGAGAGAGTGTGTGTGTTCTTTTCTTGGATTGGCATTGAAATTCCACTGCTTCTTATCCTGCTTGATATAGGATTTGTAAACATTAGCTTCTTTGATGTTTTGACTTAGCCACGGTCAGCAGCAAGCATTAAAATGCACAAACCTATATTTGGTTTTGAGTCCTTTTGTACGTGAATGACTTGGAGGGGGAAGGAGGTTTGTTGGTGGGAATGGGGGAATTGGTATTTAAAACTTAAAACTCTTTAAGGAATTAATCAATGTTTTAAATGTCCAGTATAATCATTTTTCCATCCAATTTTAGCAGACATGTAAGTCCACGTAAGGTCTCTGGATTTTCCACTTCAGAAAGAAAACATTCAAATTCTGAGCCAGTGTTTTGGGGAGGGGGAAAAATCCACAATGGTTAAATCCTAAATGTTACATCAAATCTCAAACTGACACCTATCGTTAAAATTAGACTGTACCTAGAGACTATTTGTCACACAGACACACACACACATTTTGGGTTTTAGTCTTCTGATTTTAGTAGATTTCCACCTGGAAATCTGAAGTTCTTCAGAATCATCCGATTCATTTGTGATTAAATCTTGAAACCGATTCTAATTAATGAACCCCTGGCAGATACAATACGTTCTCAGGCTTGAACGAATAATAAAATCCACTGCTTTGCTTTTCATTGGTTCACCTTTTTTCAGACTTTAAGAACTTTCTCTTTGTGTATTCTTATTTGAACCAAAACCACAGGCCCAGGATGACATGGTAAGAAATACCAGAGGCTGCAGCTCAACAGCAAACCACAGGCTAATCGTCTCCATTTTAATTTTCATCAATTCCTTCTAATTCCTTCCGTCACTATTTCCTGATTTGGTTAGGTTGTTCTTTGATTACTACTCATAATTGCAGAAAGAAATTAATAGGCTATAATCCAGGTGGCCCAGATCTCCACTAGATGACCAGCAAGGCTAGTTTTTGATCAACGGAAGAGGTGAATTAGTGCATAAACATGTTCTAGATCTTCTTGGTGACCTTCCAAATATATTACCATTAGAACGCTGAGAATTCCAGATCAGAATGGAATATAATTGGCATTATTTTCTGATAATCATGAGAACCATAATCCCAATATCTTTGGAGGACATCAACTTTAAGAATCCAACTAAAGGTTTCCAAAGATCTGAAGAATACCAGAAGAGGTCTCAAGCCATCTTAATTATAAGTCCATGGGCAGATAACAGACAGGAAGAAATGTATCCTTAACAGGGTTTAGTTCTGTAGGTCCAAGCCTATGATGATATTCCAAATACAATGTATTGTTTCCTCAATTCTTCCAATAAATATATTTGACGACTTAGAAGGTTTTCATAGGTTGGTAGGTAAACCGACAGAAGGATGATCCTAGATAGTTGGCAATTTCAGATCAATTCTGATTCCTTTAAAATGTCCAACTTCTGCGCACTTGGTCTATCCCACAAAATAAAGGATGCAGAACTTGAGGGATGGCAATAGCATCTTCTTTCCAAAGTATAATAAATAAAGGTCAAGATAGATAGCAATACCAATACCTATATTTACTAATTAGAATAATATTGTAAATCAGTCCTTCCCAGTGATGCCATAACATCACTTTATGATCTTTTGAGACTCTCTCAAAGTTGGGGAGGCTGAGCTGTGGCCTCCTGAACCCTCAATTAATGCTTGTTCCTATGAAGCCAGCCAATGACAGCTCCTGTTTCCCAGGAGCTCAGCCAATCAGAATGTGTACTTCCAAGCTGCTCTGGCATTGTAATCTCCCTTGTAATTGGACAGTGCAGCCAATAGCTCAGTTCCTCTCCTGACCATCAGCCATTGCATTCTACAAAAACACAGAGTCAAAATTGCTGATTTGCCTTCACATCCCAGAAGGCGATGCCTTTATTTACCCAAACGTCACCCAAACAATATGTATATAAGCAAGATCAGATTACAGAACAGGTTGGAAAGGAAGAAGAAGAAGGTGATATGTCAGTCAAAGTCTTAAATTGGAATATTAAAGGCAGTTCACCCATTCAAATTAAAAATCGGTGTCATTCTGACTATGGGACAGTTTTGGGCTCTTGCCAGATCTATTCAATTGAAATCAGAAATTAATGGACAAGAGAGAGAAATGTTTTGGATAATCGGGGGGGGGGGGGGGGAGGAAATCCTGTCCAAAGTCTCCCTTCAGGAACTTTTCCTGCAATTAGTGGAAGAAAACAGAGACAGGTGCAAAGTTTCAGGTATCTCATTTGGCAAGGCAAATACCCTAAAGCGAATCAAGAGAGGAAATTATTGTTTTCCTTCCAGGTGTTAAGTCTGAAAGAGGGCAGATGTGCAATTACATTCCAGATTTTTCCCTTTATTCCAATTGGCTTATTCATTAAGAAATAATGCAGCATTCGGAGAGGGAAGATTCAGGAAATAACAGCAAGGGGTTCACTGCATACAGAAGTATGCTCGGCCTAACATCTTTGAGTGAAACTCCAAATGCTCAATTGAATATATATATATAAATAAATAAAAAGATTTCTGTTTTAGAGAAATAAACAAACAAACAAAAAGATGAATCTGCCTGGGAACTTCTTAAATTCTATCTCCCTGGTGGGGAAAGAAGCTGAGCTTAATTTAAGAAGGATCAAATACAAACACGTTGATGTTTGATGGATTCGACCTTCCCTAGCACAAGGCTAGCAATAATAATGGAGGGAAAATAACACTAGATTATTGGGATTATGGTAAAAGGAAAGAGCAGTAAATGAAGGTTATAAGAACAAGAAAGAAGCCAAAGTTAGACAGTGATGCGCAAAGGAGGTAAAGGCTAAACCCAGCGCAGCAAACATGACTGCTCTGGGCCAGCTATTCTTTCCAGATCCGAAGCAGAGAAGCATATATTATTTCTTCGTGGCACAGCAATTCAAAAGTCCTGGAAGACGTGGTCAACTTCACTTGCACTGTTTGCAGCATTGGGAGCAGCATTGGGATGATTGACCACAACAACCCGAAGAGCAGCAGCAGGGAGAACAGCAGCACGGAGAACAGCACGGAGCACAGCAGCACGGAGAGCAGCAGCACGGAGCACAGCAGCATGGAGCGCAGCAACTGGGACCACAGCCACAGCCTCCAGTGGGCATACAGATGACGTGTGCATCAGATCCGCCACTGTCACCACCGCAGTTGCAGCCACAGCCACCGCCGGAGCCAGATTCCATGTTGCCCATTTCTGCAAAAACAAGAAGGCGTGATCCAGCGGAACAGGAGAGGAACAGGGATCTGCAACTGCTCTGAAAATCTTGAGACAATTCTTCTTGAATACCCGTGGTGTGCGATAACTTCTAAGTCAATCTACCGCCTATGTACCCTACGTCAACATTTCCCTTCTCCAATTTGTATACTCCGTCCCTTATTAAGTTAGCACGCTAAAATAAAATGCTTCAATTTTTACGAGAAAATGGAAATTACTCTTAACATAAGACCAAGCTTTGGCCATAAAAATCAGAGAACCATCGTGTCCTAGAATTGAAACTGGCCACTGAGACCACCGAGACCAATTTCCTGATGTAGATGAGATCCCAAATTAAAAATAACCAAAAACTTAGACAGAGAGTTGTCCGGCTTCTGCTTGATTCCATCCATTGAAGGACAACCACTACTTCTCCATGTGATTAGGCCACAATCCTATTTTCAGAAGAACCCTGTGAGATACTTCTCAGAAGCAAGAATGTTCCAGATGTTTTTTTTCTTACAAAATCAGAATCTTAAGATATCCTCCCATTATACAGTAGGTTTTGCCATTGTGTCTAATCAATAATGATAAGATGTAAGCTTGATATGCCTGCCGATTTTAACATACATCTATTTGACCCAGAAGTTCTGAATTCCAGACGACTTCATCTGTTTCCAACTAACTTGTTGTCTCCACATAACTGTTTAGAAAACACCGAACCATATGTTACTCTATTCAGCAAATGGTACAGACTCACAAAGGGTCCCTATTTTATTGTAGCAAGTTTCCTATCTGAAGTTAAAGATTTTATCATCTTCAGGATGACCAATCAAAGTCAACTTACCTGCTGGAAAGGTTGCTTGCTAACAAGGTACACGAAGGAAGGTTATGATGTTCTCTTGGGGATGGGGGGCCACCTTTTATACTGCCTCCTCAGCCTTCCCCCAGGAAGTGAGACAATGTCATGGAACGGCAGGTTCTTCACTCACCCAAAAAGCATGTTTCCGTCTACCTGGTTCTTTGACTCAATTCCATTTCTCATTAAAGGACATTTTTCTAGAAGTGTATGATTAACACCATCTTCACTTAGCAATGCTGTAATTCCAAGTCCAGAGGCAGGAGGAAGTGCTCTTAAAATGTGAGCCCTAAACTCAAGACAAATTTCTATTCATCATGAAGACCCCATAGTTGAAGGCCTCATTACGGACCTCATGCCTCTCCATCGACTTGACCCATAATTGACTCTCCATTGTCTTAACCCTTCATTAGCAGGATCAAAATTAAGCAAAATAAATCAAGGAATGCTGCCCTGGGGACTATGAACTCCTAATGAGTTGGCTGCTGAGAAATGAACTGGTGGACCCAAGAGCAAAATTCATGGAAGTGGGGAAAATTTGTAAGGAAAAAACCCTCAACAATCCAAATATCCATCATCCATGGTCATAGTATGCATTGATGAAACACAATGGCCAAGAGAAAATGTAGGACAGGTTGTCTGGAATGCCATTCATGCTACATTTTTTTCATTTTGATTAGGAATCCGCAAGGACCTGGGCTAATTTGATTTCTGGGTAGAGTCTGGGGAAGGATCAAGAGCTATGTAATGCTTTGAAAGTTTGGTTCATTTCTATAAAGTTCTGAGTGGGATTTCCATTTGAAGCTGTTTTGTGAAGCAACATGACCTTCTAAAAAAATAAGCCCATGGACCACTTTCCACTTCAGTTTGTCTCCTCCATCAGTTCCAATAGCCAAAAAAGACTCTTGGCCAGAAATTTTCTCCTGGCATTGGAAGCTTCAAGATGACGTAAACTCCTTCTCAGGGAGAAACGTATTCTTCACCTCAACGAGACACTTCGTGGTCCAAATGTCTCTGGAGATTCTCAATCATCCAGGCCATGGTTGTCCCATGGTTTCCAAAAGACAACTAGACTTTCTTGGGGGGGGAGGGGTTGTTTCTTTGAAAACATTTCGCTTCTCACCCAAGAAGCTTCTTCAGAACTTGGATGAGAGGCCAAATGTTTTCAAGGAAAAAAAACCAAGAAAGTCCAGGTGCCTTTTGGAAAAGCACCTTTGGGACTTCATAGTCCAAAGCACATTATTAAGGTGATGCCAAACCAACATCGCACAGTGCTATCATCTCCTTTGTACTATCTCAATGTTGCACGTTCCTAGATTTAACAGTGTGCTTTTATCAACCAAAAAGCATAGGGAGCATGATGGCTACGAGGGGAAAGTCCACTCCAGAGTGCAAACTGGTGGGAAAACATTGTTGGGAAAACCTAATAGAAGAATTGTAAGCTCAGAATGTGTTTAAATGTTAAATGTTGTTTTTTTAACAAAAGAAGGAAAACAAAACATGAAGAACTGAGACAAAGCAACAAGGGCCAATTTGTCCATCTGAGGTGTGATTTGATGATTCAGCCACTGCATTTGATTCATCCACTGCATTTCCTAGTGTGACCTTCTGATTACAGATGCCAAGCAAACAGAATTGGCATTCTTCTTTTAGAGTGGGGCCCTTCCTCGGGGGTTTAAAGGTAACACTATAATTAGAAGTTATTTCCATGCATTAGTTCTCATGTAGCTTCTCACTATCAACTTGGTGCTGAGAATACTTCTGGTTGTTGTTTTTTAAATCACCCAGGCTCTTGTGACATGGCCGCAATGTCACTCTTGAAAGATTACTTCAATGTCCACCCTTTCTCCTTCTTGTCCTTTGCTTCTCCTACATTGTTCTGTCTTTTTCCCCCCGTTGTCTTCTTCTCCTAATCCTTTAAGTCACGTTGATGTTAGGTGAGAATTATAGAGTTGAATACTGCGTAAAGCATGGGCATATGTTGAGTAAGGACAATAAGCTGGAAAAATGATGTGTTGGATGACCATTTGGCGTAGTAGTTAATCAAGAGATCACCGTTCCTTGTTAGTGCCTCATTTCCCAAGTGTAGGGCACACGGAGTGATATAAAAGGTCCCCCTGTTTTCCAAATCTTCATTCACTCAACTGGGTTAACTCTCCTAGCCATTTCTACCATCTACAAGGTGAGTGCTCCTTTGTTGATATAAGACAGACTATTCCTGGATTTTCTTTTTCTTTTTTTTAAAGTTATGACATTTTATAGCTTTGTCTCCCATTTTATTTTTTCCCCGGTAGCTCATGGTTTAATCTAAGGTTGGGATAAAAAACAAGACTATATAGAATCCATTTCTATGTATATGTATTGTTGGATATCATAAACTGACTTCGAAAGGACAGACTACAATTCAGTCTTGGGCCATAAGCTGGTGGATGATCCTAAACTTGCCTCTCCAATTAAAAATAAAGCAATTGTCCAGGTTGAGCAGGTACAAGACATGAAAAGCAGACAACTTTCAGAACAGGCCAAAAATCTGTTTTATCAAGCATTTGGATCACTCAAGCAGCAAACAAAGCTGCATTGGAGAAACTCAACAAAATGGCAGGACCACAATCTCATTCATCCATGGTCTTTCTTCACTATGCTGCTTTCAATTTTGAAATAGTTACAGACAAGATTGAACTACTTTCCAAGTAATCCAGATTGGTGGGGGATGCTCTTTGGAGCTAGTGAGCCCCATAATTTTTCTCCTACGTTCCTCGTTTGCAAATAGATATTTTAACGCATGGAAATTGTGGCTCTGGAATAATGGCCCATCGCTCTTCTGAAGAACTGCCTCTAACACTCTCTCATTTCTTTTCAGCCAGACCTTCACAACTCATCACAAAAATGGCCTGCTGTCCCATCTGTGGCTGCTACCCTTGCTGTTGCGTCCCCTGCTGCTCTTGTGCCAAGTGTTGTGGTTGCGGACCCTGCTGCTCCTCCTGTGGGGCACCCTGCTGTTGCAGCCCTTGCTGTTGTGCTTGCGGGGGCTGTGGGTCACCCTGCTGTTGTCCCCAATGCTCCCCCTGTTGTGTTTGTGGACCCTGTTGCAGTAGACAGTCATGCGGGGGCGGTTGTGGCTGCGGCTGCGGCTGCGGCTGCTCCCCTTGCTGCAGTTGTCAGTCTTGTGGTGGGTCCTGTGGTGGGTCTTGTGGCGGTTCCTGTTGCGGGTCCTGTGGTGGGTCCTGTGGTGGGTCCTGCGGCGGTTCCTGCGGAGGTTCCTGTTGTGGGTCCTGTGGTGGTTCCTGTGGGTCTTGCAGTTCCTGCTTCCCCAAACAGGGCTTTTCCTAAAGAATTCCAAAGGACACTGCAGCAGGACAACTGAACCGCACAACCCAACCATTCAAGAAAATGCCATCGTCATTCCATGGCGGTTGACTTCCTTGTTCTCAGTTTGTATAACTTTGCCCCTCCGTTAATTCTCTCTAGGCCCTTCTCACTTCTTCCTTCCCTTCCTTTTCTACAGCCCCCACCCTCCCAAAGATGCTCTGTTCGGTTTTTGAAATATTACTCTCACGACTATCTCTCCCATTCTGTTGTTTTTTTCTTGGTTGTATGATAGAGAATAGATAATAAACATTCCAAACAGTTCTGCGTTGTTTCTGTGCATTTCATTTCCTGATGTCCCCTGTTGAATCAACACAACCCAGGTTGCATTCAGAGGATGCATTGTTACGCTAAGTTTCTTGTGGAACAAATTACATGGAACATAACAGTACAACATCAAGCAGGATACATAAGATTTACTCATGATTAGGAAACTACTGTATGATCTTTACTACTTCTTCTAACCCACTGCAGTATTGGTGAAGATAACAGTCACAAAACATGATCTGCAAACCTAGCCATTTACAATCCAGACTTTGTACCTGACTAGCTTGTCGATCAGAAAGGCCGGCAGTTTGGCGGTTCCAATCCCTAGCGCCGCATAACAGAGTGAGCTCCCGTTATTTGTCCCAGCTTCTGTCAACCTAGCAGTTCGAAAGCACGTAAAAAATGCAAGTAGAAATATAGGGTCCTC